CACTCTGCATTTGGCCAGTCTTCCTGGTATCTGGTGGCCTGAGAGAGGCTTGGGGGGGAGAAGGATCGGGGTTGTCCTCTCAGGTTTCTGGGTGGAATCTGATCTCCAGAAAAGGGCCTTCAGTGTCACGGAAACCTCAGACGAGGGAGGGAGGGAGCCACTCACCGCACAGAAAGGTGGCATTTGTCGTGGCATTCATCGCGGCCTGGCAAGGACCCTGACCCTGACCCTGACTCTGTCTTAGGTGAGCATCACTGCCCCATTTCCCAGATAATAAAACGAAAGCCTCGAGGCCACCTGCTCATCAAGGGTAGCCCCAGGTTTCAGATCAAGGTCTGTCTGGCTCCAGAGCACACAGGTTCTGCCCTCGGGTCGGGCCTCACCACAGAAAAGCAGCTGGGCCTAGGAGAGCAGGGATGGACAGGGCGCTGCACACTCAGGCCCCCTGGGCCATGCGAGCCTTCACAGCACACTTCAGACGGGCCCAAAACAGGGCCCACAGAATGTTCATAAAGAAGCACAGCCATCCGGCCAGGTTTGTGGCCTGGGGGTTAAAGAAGTCAGGTCTCACATGCTTGAATGCATGGTTCAAGTCCTGGATCTGGTGGCTAAAAAAATATGCGGTGTCTGTGTGTTTGTGCGCGCAAAATTCCAACAGGATGGAGAAATGCAAGAGAGGTGTTTTTTCCCTCTCCCTGTCTCTGTGTCTCTATGGTGACCTCATACTCTTCCTGGCAATTAAAATATGAAAAAGACGAAAAAAGAACAACCAATCATACAGCCATGCAGACAGGCCCAGCTACTGGCCAGGCTGACCCAGTGGGGACTCAGCCCTGACATTCCTCCGCCCACGCCCTTAGGAAATCCTCCTACGCCATCCTGCCTCCCTCTCCCACCTCCCCTTCAGGCCAGGCTTTCATGGATCTGGAGGGTGGGTGGCGGTTGGCCAGGCTCTGGGAACACTCCTCACACCCAGTGTCAGCGCCTGAAACTCTAGTGTTGAGAAGAGCAGAGGCAGGGCTGGCGAAGGCTTCCCCCGGAGCCCCTTCTACCCTGCCATTGACTGCACACCCCATAACAGCTGTTGAGGCTCCCTGCCCAGAGATAGCATTGTGGACAGGGAGCCAGCAAGGGGCTAAGTCCACAGGTGGCCCATCCTCATGGGACTGGCCCATTCTCACCTGGCCCCTCTCCTCAGTCTCCTCTCTGTACCCCACAGTCACAGAATGCTGATCCCAAGGGCTGGAGATGTGTCCCCTTTTCTTGCAGGACCCCAAACTTTGTGAGTGATTCCCAAGGAGGACCCTGACCAGACCAAGGACGCTCTCGCTGATTCCCCCGGGTCTCCTGTGAGAGATGAGGTGTGTGGGGGGGTGCAGGTGGAACTTACAGAGACCTAAAGGAGGGCTCTGCCACAGTGAGGCACCCCTGTTTAGAATGAGGTGACTTAAGGCTTCTTTGTCCTCTGTTTTGGCTCCGGACACTTGTCCTGGGCCACAGGAAAGCCTCTCTCCTCATCATGTCACACATACAGCCATCATGTGGAAAACATGCACACCACACAGGCTGCGCTGGTGGCAGCAACAGAAGGCAGGCTATCCTCCGGGGACACTGGGCCCCACCGGCACGTGTTGACTGGTAGGACACTGCCTTGGGGCCTGGACTCCAGGAGGTCATCACAAGCCTATCCTGTTCTTCCTCCTCCTTTCTGCAGTAGATGTGATCTGATGACCACCTCCAAGTTCTCTCTCTCTCTCTCTCTCTCTCTCACACACACACACACACACACACACACACATGCATGCACGCACGCACACACACAGCCTAGCCTTTCAGACCTCAGTGTAACTTCCAAACTCTAAGGCTGCTGCACTGCCCTCTCGCCCTCACCAGGTCACGGTGCTGGCTGAGAGGGGTCTTGCTCTTTATTTACTGCTGGTGCTTGCCCCAGGCTCAAAACACAAATGTGTTTCCTGCCAAAGTGCATAGGCAAGAAGAAAAAGAGTGGTTGCAGAGACCTCAAAAACAAAGGCAGAACAAAAACCAGCTCCTGGAGTGCAAGAGAGAAAACTCTGAGGCCAAGTCTCACTTGACTTGCATTAGCTAAGGCAGTCTCAGTGCCAAATTGGTCCAGCAACCGCCCAGGAACAAAGGGGCCAAGGAATCCATAAAATCATCGAGCCAGAGTTCCCGAGAGGAGTGCTGGCGCTGCTCCAGCGCTCAAGGCTGTCCACAGACATGGCCGCCGCCACCTCACCTCCGAGGGCTCCCAGGATAGGCCCTGCGAGCCCTAGTCACTGTTGGGAGTTTGCAGGAAAGGCAGCGCTAAGCCATTCTGTCCCGTCGGCCAGCACACCTCTTAGCCCAGACTCCCGACCGGGGAAGCACCACAGAGCAGGGCTGGAACCTATGGCGGGGAAGGGGACATGGGAAGGGGCAGGCTGGCAGGGCAGCCAGGAGGTCCGGCCGGAAAGTCAGCTCTGGCACCTGCTCATGGGCAGGCCTCCAGCCTCCTAGCCTGTGCACGCTCAGCTGTGAGATGGGAGGCTGCCCTGAGATTTGCCAGGGCCCGCGCCGTTCTAACCGACATGGTTCCCTGAGCTGCAGCTCTGCTGGGGGGTGGAGGCCGGAGCGCCCTCTCTTCCTGGGCTCATTAGGAAGGCAGCAGGAGTGCCTGGGACTGTGAGCTGCCCTAGGCCCCCAGGGTTCACGGCACACAAGCTGCAAGAAGGCAACCGCTTCCCTTGTCTGGTCTACCCTCAGGAGCCTTGGAAAAGGCGGGACTGAGGCCCTGAGCCAGGTGGGACACTGCTGAGGGAGCTGGGGCACAGCAGTGAGGGGGCTGGATCCAGGCTCTGGCATGCCCTGGGCTGTGCTGCCCCCAGCAGTCCTAGGGGCTTGGCATAGCTGGGGCACAAACTGTGCTTTCAGTGAGCCAGAACGTCAAGCCACGGCACTGAGCTAACAGGACCTGTCACCGAGCTCAGAAGGACAAAGACCTTCTCAAAAATGAGAACCCTCCACCATCCAAAATTCACACCACCGCAGACCTAGGGGTGATAAACTGGGGTTCACATATATCTGGCTTTTCGCTTTCTTTGCATAGCCCGAAGGCCCTGGACATGGTTCCCGACTGCTGGGTGCCTGCAGACAGGGTGCCCTCGTGGCTCTCTCACGCGCAGGACGAGGAGGCCAACACCTGCCACATGGGAGCACACCACGCCCCCTCCGAGTCTGCCCCACACCATCCAGTATACCATGGTCTTGCCGCCCGCCTTTATGAAGCAGCAGGGAGCCTTCGTGTGCACGGTCCCCTAAGCCTGCAGTGCTTTCATCTGAGCTTCCTGGATCCCCATGTCAAGGAAGCCCGTCCACCCCGGAGGTGACGGGGGCGGGGGGGGGG